ACCCCAAGAGGAGCTGCAGCCAGCACTCACCACATATGACGGGAGTCAGGACAGCCATGCCTTTAAACTGATGTTTAGAAATGGTTCTGCTTAAGATGAGGCCTCCAAAACTGGGGAAAGAGTGGGGCTGACATTAGAGTGGCCCGGCCAACTGCCACTGGTAAACACCATCCCTTCCCTACACAGTGTTGGCTGCAACCCAGCTGTCTCCTCATGTCACGTCTCTGTCTTTATTCCAAGCCTCAGCTGCTCCAGAAGGTCCTTTGGATGATGGCAAACCATTATGAAATAAGAGCCTTTCCAAGGCCACAAGCAGCCCAGGTCCTCCTGGCTAGGCTCTGTCATGGGATGAGATACCAACACCCCTGCCAAAAGACCTTGCTTCCACCAGAAGCTGGAGTTTGGGAAAGGCCTTTCTACCTCTCAGACTTTGTAGAGACTTAGATAAAGTAGATCAGTTTTTCTGAGTAGCCTTGAAACACCTTACGGGCAAAGTGTTGTAGAATATTATTTTAAGATGTGTTACATTCATTTAAGCTGTGGGATATTTATTTAATGATGCTAAGATGTGCTGTATTCTTTTATGTTGTATTTGTTTAACTCTGTGTTACTTTGCCTGTCTAAAACACCTGGTGGGCTAATAAAGAGCTAAGTGGCCAAGAGCTAGGCAGAAAAGGATAGGTAGGGCCAATAGGCAGAGGGAATAAACAGAATAAGAAGAGGAAGGAGTAAGAAAAGGAGGAGAGGAGGACACCAGGGGCTAGCCACCCAGCAAGGAGTAAGAAGTAAAGAAAGATATACAGGTAGGTGTATATTTGTAATTGAATGGAGGGGTCTTCATATGACAGGGGAAAAAAAAGATACACAGAAAAAGGCAAAAGCCCAGAGGCAAAAGGTAGATGGGATAATTTAAATTAAAAGCTGGCTGGAAATAAGCCAAGGTAAGGTTGAGCATTCATAAATAAGAATAAGTATTTATTTGGGAGCTAGGTGATGGGCCCCCAAAGACCAAAGAGTAACAAATTATATAAAAACAACAACAACAAACAACAAAAAACAGCTAGAGTAAAGGCAGCTGCACATAACCTCTTTTTCCTGAGATTTGAGTTAGAACATGACAGAGTGGACTGCCGTGGTTCCTGTCAATGTGTCCCAGAAAACGTAGTGGGACCAACCCTACAATTCTCTAGGCCCCACCAGCAGCTATGCTGGGGTAGTGACCATGGTGAGAACTGTTTCCCTGCAACCAGGATGAGGGACCCTGAAGCTCACTGTGCTGGGTGACTTTTGTCAACCTGACACAAAGCTAGAAATATCTGGGAAGAAAGAATCTCAGTTGACGAAATGTCTCTATCAGATTGGTCTGCAGGCAAGTCTGTGCTGTACTTTCCTGATTGAAGACTGGTGCAGGAGGGCCCAGTCCACTGTGGGTGGTGCCACCCCTGGGCAGGTGATCTTGGGGTGTATAAGAAAGCAGCCTGAGCCTGGCGGATCTCTGTGAGTTCGAGGTCAGCCTGGTCTACAGAGTTCCAGGACAGCCAGGGCTAAACAGAGAAACCTTGTCTCAAAAAACAAACATGAAAGAGAGAAAGAAAAAAAGGAAGAGAAGGGAGGAAAGGAAAGAAAGAAGGAAAGGAAGAGAGACAGAGAGAGTGATTCCTGCTTTGAGTTCCTGCCTTGACTTCCCTTAGTGATGGGCTGTAAACTCTAAGCTGAAATAAACCCTTTCCTCCCAAGTTTCTTTTGGTCATGGTATTTTATCACAGCAATAGTAACCCTAAGATGCATGCACAGGAGTCTCGATAGTCAGTGTTCCACAGCACCAGGACAGGGAATGGAAGTTAAACTGTACACAGTCTGCATTGTAAGACAGAGGTGAGCTTTTGGGAGTCATACTAGGATGTTATGGTTTATGGTTTGAAGTAATTTTTCTGTTTGTAAACTTGACAAGGGGTAGATTGTCATGGCTATTGTTTTTTGGTTTTTTTTTTTTTTTTTGGTCTCACTATGTAGCCCGGGCCAGCCTTGAAGTCATTATGTAGACCAGGCTTGGCCTCAGACTCACAGAGATCTACCTGCCTGTGCCTCCAGAGTGCTGGGATTGAAGGTGTGTGGTACCTTACCTGGCCTGCAATGGTTAACCTTGACTGTTGGCTTGACCAGATCAGAATCACTAGGTGATGAGGACTTTGTGTGTCTGTCAGGACATTCCAGAGACATTTGATTATGACGGGTCATCGGGGCTCTGGCTTGATGGATGGATTAATCCCTTGATGGATTAATGATCTTCTGCCATTGTTGGGAGTCGGTGAAAGGCAGGAGGCGGGGCCTGGCTAGAAGGAGGAAGTCCCTAAGGATGTGAATCCCTGCTGGTTGCATCTTGGCCTGGCCTATTTCTGTGTCCTGGTCACCTCTAAAGTGAACAGCACTTCTCTGTGATATGCTCCTGGGGCCACAGAGCACATGGCCAATGATCTGCGCCCTCAGAAACAGTGAGATAAATAAACCTCTCTCTGAAGTTGCTTCCATCAGGCATTGCTCTCACAGAACGGAGGGTTCAGGGTTCCACACTGCTCACCTGCTGATGACCATAGCCAGGATGATGGGGAACCACCCATACTTCAGGATTTTCATGACGGGCGGGTTCTGCTTGGCAATGAAGATCCACAGAGGGGTGAGAGCCATGAAGCCAATGCAGACCAGTGGTGTCAGATACCATGTGTCTGAGAGAAAGCAGACATACAGAGTTCATATGCCAAGGCTGGCACATAGGCGCTGGTTGGGGTGTAGCCTTTCGCAGTCATGAGGTTAAGTTTGGAACCGAGGCACTCGCCATTTACAGGGGCTGTCCTACCACACTTGCCAGAGAGCGACTGCTAAGCAACTGGGAAAGCTCTCTCTGTCCTGCCCCGTCCCTTCACTTCTCTGATGTCCTGGCAATCATCAAGAACCTTGATCAGGCTTCCTCTACCAGTGTTATAATAAACGGAACTAGGACAGGGTCTGAGCAGGTGGCAGCTTTGCACATGTATGACAGTTCTCAGTTACCCTGCTCAGAGGTGCCAGGAAAGCCCAGAAGAGCCAAGAGGCAACTACCAGGACACATAGCCGCAGGGGCAGAAACAGGAGGAATCTCTCTCCTGGCTGAGATGCTCCATATTATTGTGGTGGGTGGATCAGACTGGCCTGCTAGCTACTCATATCCCAGAGTCACCTCCAGCTATGAGGCTAGGGTGCTGCTCACCCAGGGTCAATGTCCTCACAGCATCACTCTCCTCTTCCAGCCTCATTCTCTGACACCACTTCTCACATGTGCACAGAACACTGACTTGCTCTAGCATCATCTTTTCATCCTGTTCCTACCCTCCTGAGCAACCTTAATGCTAGGTGGCCACACATGGTCTGTGGCCCACTCTCCTTCTCTGGGTGGTGTTGCTGGGAAGAGTGCCTTCTCAGTCTCCATAACACACAACTGTGGTCCCTTCATCTGCCACAGATGCTCCAGGCTAGCTATAGACAAAGTGCTTCATGGTGGATATGGCCAGCTTATGTTCCATCCCCAGAACCAGAAGGCAGGCCCCACAAGCTTTAAGCAGGTCACTAACACTCAGGGACACAGTAGCTTGGAGAAGTATCTCCTTACAAGACACTTGGGAGTGCGGTCAGGTTTTCTGTAACTTTTGAGAGGGCGCCATCTGACTCCCACCGCACACCCATGAGTCCTCCTGACTGCTCCTGGCAGCTGTGAGCTAACTCACTCCTCAGTCAGTGAAGACCTTTCTCCTGCGGCCATGCCCACTGTTTTCCTGAGCATAGGCAGAGATGCAGGGAAGGGGGTAGGGGTGGGGGTGCTCTTATTTGCTTTGCAAATCAAATGCAAATAACCAACTCCTATGCAAATCTTGCTTTAAACTCAGTCTGCCCTCAAAGTACAACTAGGTCTTCTTATCTGATTCCAAGGCTCCTCACTGTCACCTAACAGGACTCAGTCCAGACTGGGCAGAGGTGTCCCAGGTACGGTGGAGGCCTCACTGAGTGGTTTTTATCCGCATCCACTAATTATTTCTCCAATCTCCGAATCCTTCTTCCCACCGGGCACCGAGCTGTGCCCGATATTTCCTCCAACAACTGTCGCCACATGCTCACCACTCTCCACTGGTCTCATCCTGAAACACAGACACATCCATCCCCAGAGCAGCCTTGGGCGGAAATGAACAGCCCCACACCTGTAAACTGGAGCTGCTCATCTCACTCCACACTCAGTTTCTCCAGCCACCCTGGACTTGCTGAGAGACTCCAGGTGCCTCCCCTCCCCCACCCCACCCCACCCTTGTGCAGAGAAGGCTCGGGTCCCACGGCACCCTGGCTCCTCTCTTTGGGGATGACGTTCCAGCTCCCACCCAGGCTGGTGTGATCTGCATAGACCCCGTCCTTGGCGCCTTCCCTACCTCTGTGTCTGTAGAAGAAGCTGCTTATCAGGGCCAAGATGGATAGTGTGATGAGGTCTCCCAGGCTGGCTGCGATGGGTGTGGCGATGTTATCAGGGTTGATGCCAAACTTCCGAGCACCAACCACTATGCAGGTCATTAGAATTCCTGGAGCGGGAGGGGGGCCCAGGGAGCAGTTGGTGGTGAGATGGCTTAGAGGCCCCTTGGAGGGTCAAGCAGGCCATCAGAAAACTCAATAGTTATATCTATATCTATCAAAGTCTGGATACTCAGCAGGCTGCCCACCTCCCAAGGGGTGAGCCGGAAACTCTGAAGACACACCTGAGCAGGCCCCTGGCCTCTCAAACCACAGTGCTCAGCCTCTGCTGCATGGAGGGCTGCTCCAAGGGCGGTCTAAGCAACAGGAGCCTGAGGGGTAGGGGGACCTAAGCCTCCAGTGCCTGCTGGGTCCTCTGATCCACCAATATGTGAGACATTTATTAGGTCCAAGCACCAATGGAAGACGAGGAGGGAGGGCGGGTGGAGATGCTGTGGAGGACTCAGCCCACATATCTGATATATCCTGGGGATCCCTTATCTCAGGAGCTCAGCTATGCTGTCCCTGGGCACTAGGGTGGAACACATGACCCTCACGTGAAGATAATGATGGGCTTCATGGCTTGTCTGGGAGATGAGAGAGGCCCATTTGCAGGACCCAGCACCAGGACCCTCTGTTCTATCTGAGGGCCCTGCCCTGTAGTCTTGTAAGCTCCATTGTTTCTAGCTGGGGCTTAGCCTGCTTCAGCAGCATCCTCCCCCTTATTCAAAACATTTTGTATCTTGGCTGTTAGAGTCCTGTGACCCTAAAAATAATTACAGCAAGGCCCTTCTGTAATGCACTTAGCCCCTAGCATCACAAAATGAATGGAATTAAAGATAAAACTGTCTACATTCACTCTCAAGGCTGTCCTAATGCTGCCACCACCTGCCACACTGTGCCCTTTGTGTCACCAAACCAGAGCCCTGCATCTTCCTTCTAAGCTCCAGTTCAGGTGGACCCGAATTTACACAGCTGGTCCCACTGAAGCCCCCTAAAGGACACAACACTGGCTGGGAATGCTTATTAAAAACCATTACATAGCCACATTCTTGACACATTTAGAGCCTAACAAGCTAGATGAAGAAAACTGCCATGCTCAGGTACCTGACCTCAGCAAGGAGTGATAAACTGAAGTCTGTCAAGGCTCAGGGAAGGGACAACAGAGCCCTCTGAGGCATGCACACCTTCTCTGCACACACACACACACACACACACACACACACACATGCACACACACACAAGCACACCTTGGACAACAGAGCTGCCTCAGGCATGCACACATACACATGCTCTCACACACATATGTACATACACATACACGTGTACACACACACACACACACACACACACACACACACACACACACAGAGACCCTTTGAGAGGACACAGGGCAGACTGAGGCTCTAACAAGCTCTCCCCCCTCACTTCCAGATCAGCGCCACTCCAGTGCCACAGCAGCCTCGTGGCTCAGCCCTCTGGGAACCTTTACGGAACAGCAGAGTAAGCAGGCCTGAGGCCTGGGGATACATGGGCTATGGCTCACCTAGGGCCAAGGCCGCAAGAAAGGCAGTGATGACGCTGCTCATGCACAGCAATGCCACTTTAGTCCACTCCAACTGTTCTCGAGACACTGCACCCAGCAGCATGGAGGCCAGTGCAGCCAGGAGCCCCACGACAGTGGCCTGCACCTGCCAAGACAGAAATCAGACCTATGAAAAGGGTCCCTGACCACCGCCACCCTCCTGTCCTTCTGACTCCTAGTCACCTCAAGGGTCAAACAAGGCCCTCATCACTACCTTATACCCTTCACCCTGAGCCATGCTGTTCTCCACAGCACTGCCCTCCAAGGTGACTCCATCGAGAGCTGCCCTGCCTACCTCTGTCCCATATGAGATGCCACCTGCAAGTGGAGAACAGGGTCTTAGAGGGACACCTGCCTCTGGCTCAGAGCTCCATGATTGCTGGCCCAGGTGTATACTCTACAACCCAGAGAGTAGCACTGACTGGCCTCTCACTCCCATGGAAGCCTCAGGCCTACAGCAATTTCACATATGCCTGCCTCACATCCCAACTGGCCTGTCCCCCAGCTCACATTCTCATTACAGCCATATCTCTGCCTCTAGAGCCCAGGTCTAAGCCAGCATCAGGACCCCTAATGGTGCCCATTACCAAAGAATGAAGGGACACAGAGCAACGAACAAGAAGAGCAGGTGTGTGTGTGTGTGTGTGTGTGTGTGTGTGTGTGTGTGTGTGTTTTGCATGTGGCAGGCAAGGGGCACATGTATATGTGAGGTCAGAGGACAACTTGTAGAAGTTGGTTCTTCACTTTGCCATGTGGGTCCCAGGGATTGAACTCAGGTCATCAGGCTCAGCAGCAAGTGCCCTTACCAGTTGAGCCATCTTGTGGTCCCCACCCCTTATTTTTTGAGACATGGATGCAGGGCTGTTTTCACATGAGTCTGGGCTGGCCAGAAAGCCCTAGGGATCTTCCTATCTCTGCCTTTCCAGAGCTAAGATTTCAAGAGCACAGCACCACACTCAGCTTTTTATACCAGTTCTGGAGACAGAACTCAGGTTTGATGCTTGTGCAGTGAGGACACAACAAGAATCTCAAGTTAGCCAATGTCATCCCAACCAGGGCCACATCACCGAGGTCATCCCAACCAGAGCCCCCATCACCAATGTCATCCCAACCAGAGTCCCCACAAGATTTCCCATGGTGCCTGATGACTCACAGAGATGAGTAAGCATGTGTGCAGAGCCAAGAAGTTTAGTGGATGGAGGTCCGGGGGAATTGCTGGTGTATGTCAGATACATTGTAAAGTATGAATGGAAATGGACCATAAAGCTGGAGAGATAAACACAGTGTAGCATTGCCCAAAAGAGACATACAGAGCCACAGGATGGAAGGGAACCCAGAAAGAGATACTCGGAGCCACAGGACAGAAGGGAACACAGGAGACGACACAGGGAGTCACAGGACGGAAGGGAACCCAGAAAGAGAGCACAGGAAAGTGCTCTGTAAGTGAAGAGGGAGCAAAGTGGAAGTGAGGAGGGGGCAGAGAGGGGAGAAAGGGGGTGAAGGGGAGTAAAGAGGGGGTATCCTAGATGCATGACTTCAGCAGATGAATATGAAAAAACCAGGGCAAGGGAAACCAAGCCACTATGACCAGGAGAAAGGTGGACTCCCCCACCCCACTTCACACCCTTAAACACTAACCCCAAGGTGTGAAATAAAGGGATATATGATAGTCTGTTTAAGAATTTTGCAGCCCGGCAAGGTTTGTGCATGACTGTTCCCACCATTAGAGCCTTGGCAGGAGGACCAAGACATCAAGATCAGCTGAGCTATCAGACACAGGAGCCTAGCAAAAACCAATGTTAGAACTATCTCTGACCAGCAAAGGCCTTCTTTTAAAGATACAAAATAAAATCCTTAAAGAAGAACACAAAGCCAGACATGGTAACACATCTACAATATCTGCTACTCTGGAGGCTGAGATAAGGTCACAGGCCAAGGTCTGCCTGGGCCACAGAGTGAGTTCAAAGCCAGCCTGGGCAACTTAGCAAGCCCTAGTGTCAAACACAGGGCAAATAAAGGCAGGCAGAGATAGAGCCGGGTAGTAGAGCACTCACTTGGATGCGTGTAGTTCAACTGTCATTGCTGAAAAAATCATCTATATATAGTATGTTATTCATAAAATTTATATGTGATTCCTATATGATGAATGATACCATGGAGTCATGGAGAAGGTGATTGACTTCCCTAGTTTTCAGGAAGATTCTAAGTAGATTATGATATGAAGCATGTCACTGGATGCTGGTGTTCCTCTCAATGTCTGGCAATGAGGATTTGGCCCAGCACCTGGTATGGCTCACATACAGCTGGTGAATGAGTGAATACGTGGTGGCCTGTTCTTCATCCTTCAGGACTTGTGCTGTTGGCATGAATTCAGAATGTCCTCAGAGGCCCATGCTTGAAGTCTGGTCTTCAGCTATAGAAAAGTGTGTGGACCATTAAGACTCGGTTTTCTGGGAGATCTTAGGTCACTGGAAGAATGCTCTCAAGGGGATTGTGGGGCCCCAGCCCCTCCATTCTAATTTGCTTCCTGGATGTCAAGAGATTGCTTTGCTCCATCATGCACTGCCATGAACCCAGTAGCAACAGGAATCAAGGACACAGTAAGCCACGACACACCTTCCCTCCACCTAAGTGGACTGTCTCAGGCACTCTGTCAGGGTGATGGAAACGGACTCACACACTAGGTGAGACAGACACTGAAAAGGTGGTAACAGGTGAAACATACTGACAGGTACGTGGGAAGTTGGTTCTTGTTCACTGATGGTGGTAAAAACTGGAATGGGAGTTGGGGATGGGCTAGGGACCTAGCATCTTTTCCAGAGAAGCATTTGCATATGTGAACAGAGATGGGGTAACAGTATTGTAGACAGGAGCAGCTGAGGGCTCACACACTTCTCTAGCCATACGGCTCAGCAAGTCTACATCATTGCGGGATGAGATGTACAGGAAAGAACTCCGTGTCTGTAAGTCAGAGTTCTCCGTGGGTAGCTCTGAAGGGGTTCTTTCCACCATGCTAAGGTAATGGAGCAGTCAGTGACGCAGCTACTCACATGCTACTGCAAATACCAGGTACTCAATACTGGTTATTTTGTGGTATATCTTTTTTTTTTCTCCAGAGAAATATCTAAGCTTAAAACTGTTTAGAAGGTCATGTGGTTCAGTGATGGAGAGCTGATCCAGTTCATGTGAGAGTCTGGGTTCCAGTTCCAGCTCTTCTAACAGACAGACAGACAGACAATAGTCTTAATGTGAAGAAGAATGTAGCCATGCCCATATCACTTAGTCAATAAAGCAAAGGCTAGGGAGAATGAGTCTATGGCTCCTGAGACAGCAAGGGTGCTAGGGGCTGGCATAGGGTGCTCAGGTGGCTGCCCTCAGCCTCACTGGGGAGTCCCCATACACCACGAAAAGTGTTACAACTTCACCCTGAGGGGCTGCAAAGACAATTGAGAGCAGTTAAGAGCACTTGTGCTATTGCAGAGGACCCAGGTTCGATTCCAGCGACCCTCATGGTGTTCACTATTGCCTGCAATCCAGTCCCAGGGGATCTGATACCCTCTTCTGGCCTCTATGGGTACCAGGCATGCACATAGCGCACACACACACACACACATGCAGACAAAATACCTATGTACATAAAATTAAAAAAATTCATGCTGAGAATAAATGACTGTTTAGTGTTCAACTCTATCCAAGACATCGACATGAGCCTCCCCAGGGCTCAGGAAACATCACAGAAGAGGTAGCAGAAAGAACATCAGAACAGCAGGGCGTGACAAGGCTGCAAACTGAGACCTTCTGGGCCATCACACTCAGGAACTCACTGCTCAGGATCAAGCCAGCAGGGTCACTCAGTTTTCCAGCAGGCAGCACCACCGGAACTCAGTGGGTTACCACAAAAAGGGGGAGGGCAAGGTGGGAACGGATGTGTGGGTGCTGTTCAGGAAGGCCTGGGTGGAGACGGAGAGGATATGATCAAGGTGCACTTCAGGGACACATGAGAGAAAGTGTCAAATAATTTAAAAAATCATTCTAACATGTCACCCCTGGATTCACATTTAAAAGACAGAACATGGTGAAGAAGTTGTTTTTGTTTGAGTGTGTTTTTTTGTTTGTTTGTTTTTTAAAGTCCATTTTGAAATTTACCTGATGCCTTGTGACTCAAAGTTAAGCCCTTTTAAAATTGAGGAAGCAAATCATATATAAGCTGCATTTCAGGAAGCATGTAATGTTGTGGGATATTTGTGTACTGTGTGAAGATGAACTGCTGTGACTGGTATAATAAAAAGCTGAATGGCCAATAGCTAGGCAGGGGTATAGGCAGGATGTCCAGGGAGAGAAAGGAAGGAGGAGGAATCTAGGCGTGTGGGAGATGGCAGGAAACAGAGAAAGAGGAGGTGCAAGATGGAAGAGAGGTAATGCCACAGGATAGAACATAGATTAATATAAATGGGTTAATTTAAGTTATAAGAGCTAGTTATGAGCAAACTTAAGCTATAGGCTGAGCCTTCATAATAATAAGTCTCATGACATTATTTGTGAGCTGGCAGCCTGAAGAAAATTCTGACTACAATGTAAGTCTAGCCAGGCCCAGGAAGGCTTCATAAGATCTTCAGTAGTTCTGGAAGGTTCTAGAAAGGCCTGAGCCACATACCCCAGTGCTGGGCATTTGTAATCCCTCACCTGACTCCTTGCTATAGATCTGAATGCTGCTTTAATCTCTCAGCTACTCAGCCACAGGCTTGGTTCCGGCCTGTAAGACTCAGCCCAGGTACAGAAGGCAAGAGAGTACAAGACAGGCCTGGACTGGAACAGTGGGGCAGGAGGCACATCCCCTGTAATCAAGAGGGAAAGGGCTGGATGGTTACACACACACACACACACACACACACACACACACACACACACGGAGGAGACTGAGGGGTGGCACCTGGGGGCAGCACAGAGTTTCAGAACAGCAGGCACAGAGGAGAGATGTTCCAAGGACAGACAGCTGCACGTGAAAGGCAGCAAGGGGGAACTGTCTGTGTCTGTGTCTGTGGGGCTGGTGAGGGAGGCGGGCTCATCTACCCAGAGGAACTGCAGAACAAGAGGAGGCGGCATCCACTGGCTTTCCACACACACAGAAGCTGCTGCAAGGGGCACAGGTCTACAGACATCAGCAGGGGAGGAGGAGAAGCAGGGTTCGATTCAAATGCGACTCAGAGGAAGTCTGCATAGTGACAGCATGTGAGACTTAGGGGCAGAGGGCAGAAGAGGGCAACTTGGTTTCCAGCCTGCTCAGGTGGGACGGATGGAGCAGTCCTCACTGGGGAATGGCCGAATGGTCGTTAGCTTTCCATCAGCTGTAACAAACCCCTTGAGCCAATCATCTTGGAGAGAGGAGGTTTACTTTGGCTCACAGTTTTAGAGGGAACAGTTTATGGTGTGTTGACCCCATTGCTCTGGGCCTTTGGCAAAGCAGCCATCATGGAGCCTCACTGTTCCCCTCAGAGCCAGGAAGCAAAACAGAGCAGTTGAGGGCTGGGGGCCTGGTTAGGGGTTTTGTTGACTTGACATAAGCTAAAGTCAAATGGAAAAGAAACTGGTGGTGTGAATAAGAATGGCCCAACAGGCTCATAAGTTTGAATGCTTAGTCACCAGGAAATGTGACTCTTTGATAGGATGAGAAGGATTAGGAGGTGTGGCCTTGTTGGAGGAAATGTGCCACTGGGGGACTTTTGAGGTTTGAAAAGCCCAGGCCAGGTCCAGTTCTTTCTCTACCTAAGGATCAGGATGTAGCTCTCGGCAACTTCTCCAGCACACTTGTCTTCCAGTGTGCAGCCATACTTCCTGCCATAATGACAATGGACTAAGCCTCTGAAACTGTTAATAGTAGGGTGGGCAGCACATGTTCTGTCCCCGAAAGGGAGAGGGCTGAAGGGTGGTGCACACATACTGTATCTAATTAAATGCTTTCTTTTGTAAGAGTTGTCATGGTCATGGTGACATTTTCACAGCAATAGAACAGTGACTAAGGCAGTACCTTCAGCTGAGAAAATGCCTCCTCCTTCAGAATGGCAAGTCTGCGGGGCATTTTCTTTACTAATAATCATTGACGTGGGAGGGTTCCGCCCATTGTGGGTGGTGCCACACCTGGAGGTGGGTCCTGCATTGTATAAGAAATCAGGCTGGGCAAGCCAATAAGTAGCACTCTTCCATGATCTCTGCTTCAGTTCCTGCCTCCAGTTTCCTGCCTTGAGTTTGTGTCCTGATTTCCCTCAGTGATGGACTACAAACTGTAAGATGGAAGAAACCCTTTCTTCCTTATGTTATTTTTGGTCGTAGTCTTTATCACAGCAACAGAAACCTGACTAAGACAGAAGGAGTCCACAGGCAGCATTCCTCCACCACAGTGGGCTGGTGCCTTCAGCAGAGCTGAGGGCAAGGAGGGGATGATGAGGCCAGTTCTAACTTGCTGTTTGGAGGATGCCTCTGGGAGAGGCAGGGTTCTGACCTAGATGACAGTTAGAATAGGTGCCACTAATGGATAAGGAGACACAGCCCTGGTCAGGGCTGCCCACCTTACAGGTGATGAGAGTCTGACCTCGGTCCACATTCCCTGTGCTACCAGGGGCTACCTCTGCCCAGCAAAGCTCAGAGACCCTGGACCACAGTCCCTAAAAAGCCAGCTCTATGTCCAGCCTTCCTTCCTGCCTGAGCCTGTCCTGCCCTCATCTGTTCCTGCCTGGGTACTCTGGCTTCAATTTACTGTGAAAGGGGCCTAGATAGAACTGAACCCACGAAGGTCCTGGTAGAAGGAGGTGCAGTAAGAGCATGAAGGCCTCTTGCAAAGGCTGAGATATGACAGGTTAGGCTACAAGAACAAGGCTTATGGGGAGAATTTCCAGGTGGGAAAGATCCATCAGGTCCCAGAAAGATTAAGTAAAGTCACTGGAAGACTGAGAACTTGGGGTGTGTCCATCTGGAGAACACCAGTGACCCAGGGAAACACAGTGTTGGTCTAAATGTAGGAAGAAAGCCACTAGCCAATGCAGGGCATGGTAAATGCTGAGTGCATCAGACCTCCTAGGATGTGGCTTAGAAGACGGGTGGTGGGGAAGCTTCAGGGACCACAGACCTGAAGGCATCTCAGACAGGCATGGTCGTTCCCTGTGATGAACTTCCCCATGCCACAGATATGGCCTAGTGGACAGATAGATGGACACATAGACACCTGTCCTCCAAGTTCAGTCCTGAGACAAGACTCACATGGCCTCCCCCATCCTACCCAGACAGAGGCAGGCTGCCGATCCATGCGGGAGGGGGAAGGCATCGGTGGGTGCTCCAACACTCACCTGAACCACAGCCAGGTTGCTGCTGATGATTTTGTACCTCTCCTGGCGATCATCGATTTGCCCGGTGTTGGCCTAGCACACAGAGATAAAGGAAGTGTCAGTCAGAGGGCTGGAGAAGCCAGTCCTTCCGGGCATAGTCAGCCCTCTTTCTCTCAGGAAACAAATCAGAACTCAGAACACATCATGCCACTCAGCTTTGTAGACCATGACCTGCCCCACTTGACATTGATTTTCTTTTTAATTACGTGTGTGTGTGTATGTGTGTGTGTGTGTGTCTGTGTGAGAGTTTGAGCACACGTGAGTGCAGTGCCCAAGGAGTCCAGAAGAGGGTGTCAGAGTCCCTGGAGTTAGAGTTACAGGCAGTTGTGAGCTGCCCAATATGGGTGCTGGGAACCAAACCTGGATCCTCTGCAAGAGCAGTGAGCTCTCTTAACTACTGAGACAGCTCTCCTGACACATGTACACCCACCCGCCTTTTATGAATTGACCTGGACTTTTTTTCTCCCCAGCTTTTGTTTATTTTAATTTTCAGTGTATGGCTGTTTTGCTTGTGTTATGTCTATGTACCATGTATGTATAGTACGTGTGAAGGCCAGAAGAGGGTGTCAGATTCCCTGGGACTTTAGTTACAAATGGTTATGAGTTTCCCTGGGGGGGGGTACCACAAATCAAACCTGGGTCCTGTGAAAGCACAAGCCATCTCTTCAGCTGCTGTGGCCCCTTTTGTGGAGAAACAGCACTATAAATATAGTTGGAGTTGCTAACATCCCACAGTGAACAACAGACCCTGAGGCCCTTATTCATCAGCTTCTGTACTGTTTTCTCAGGACCTCGAACACAATCTATTTCCTCTGGATACCACCCTTTTCACATGCAGGATGCCAAATGGCCATTGGGGAGAGGGGAGGAAACCTTCTGTATTAACAGGAGGGAAAGAGAACCACCCCAGAGATGCCAGGGGTAGGAAAGAAGAGTCAGCCGAGGCAGAACCTTTGTTGGCTACAGAGCCAAGTGTAACCAGCCATAACGACAGGGGACAGGAGGTGTCTGATAAGCAGAGGTAGTTAATGGGCAGCTGAGACCCCCCCTCCTTGTACCCTCCCCAGAATCCTCTCTTCTGCCTACTGAAGCTTTCAGGTCTATGTGTGAGGGGGCATGGCCTAGGGTCCCAGCAGCAGCATGAGGACTCTGGGGAACAGGGACACAAAACGTCAACTGACACTGAGGCCGAGGGAGAAATGAAGGCACTAGGGCACTGTGCTGGTCCCTCAGCAACTCAGGGTAGCCATGGGAAACAGTACAAAAAGCAGGGAGGAGAGACCAGAACAGCCTGTGAGATGCCAAAGCAGAGTAACACCTGTGTGGGTGGGGACGGAGAGAGACCAAACGAAGGGAACATCCTGTCCCCATAGTGCAGGTTACCCAAGACATCCAGCTGCCACTTACAGATGTAGAGAGTCGAGACGCCAGCGTCATCTCCAGGTTTCCCTTCAGGCCCACCAGGGGCGGCACCAACGTCAGCAGGTCTTTAACCTCCTGGAACACTGCCCAGTGCTGGAAGAGAAAGAATAAGGCCTCATTGCTGGCACAGCTCTGCAGATGTCCACAGAGAACCTCTGCCAATGACCTTGACCTTCGTGAATGAACCTGTGAGACCTAGCAGTGTCCTAAATGCTTTTACTTTATTTATTTTTATTTTATTTTTGTTTTTTAAAAAGGGGCCTGTCTACATAGCCCTGGGTATGCTGGAACTCGATATGTAGACTAGGCTGACTTGGAACTCACAGAGATGTACCTGCCTCTGCCTCCTGAATGCTGGGATTAAAGGTGTACACCACCCCATGCCCAGCCTAAATGGTTTTAAATGAAACACCAAATAAGACATTTTAAATACCATTAATCAAGTCAGCAGCAGCAGCCTCCAGCAAGCTCCGAGGCTGGGAAAGCGGCAGAGCTAGAGTGGAGGCCAGAGGTCCAGCCTGGCCTAGCCCGAAAGTGTGCTATTTACTATGACATGGGGATTTTGTGTGCAACAACAGTTTTGTAGAAATTGGAATGTGTCACCAATTCAGAGTTATTTCTCTGAACTTGAGAGGCATGGAAACACAACAAAACTAGCTGGGGGACCACTTTGTCAGGGTCTCTCAGTCATCACCCAGCACATGGCTGGGCCCTGTGCTTTCCAAAACAGAAAAGCCCATTTGATGGAGACCCAACATCTCCTTCAAAGATTAAAAACAAAAACTGAAGAGGGTCTACATTTGAGTCTTATCCCTGTGTTTCTTGACTGTGTAGGAGCAAAATGTGGCCTCAATGTACATAGCTTTTTTAGTACCAAGTCTGAACATTTTACCGTGTTCGTAATTTTTATTCCCTCTAGAAAATGTTTTTGTATTTGGCCAAATGTACCCATTTGTTCAGATCTTTTATGATGATGTTATTAGCCCTGAAAGAAATACAAGCTTTTCCTGCTCTCACATGAAGGACTATGTTGGAGGCAGAGGCCCACCTGTGGGGGCCTCCTTATCAGTCCAGCTACTACCTCCCGGTTGCTGCAGTAGGGGCCTCAGGTCTGTGAGCAACCGCCTATCAGCTCTGCACACCCCTCGGGACACACCACACACGCCACCACACACATACCCCTACCCCTGGCTAGGGTTGTCTGTCATACCAATCCTTTCCATTTCCATGTTCCCTGCTCCAGCCCTCACCCACCATCCTCTGCCTCCCATACAGACTCCCTGCCACATTCTCCCTGCCATACACAAGGAGAGCTAACACATGGATTAAACCCGCCTCAGAACAAACCCCCCTCTTCCTTACACTCTCCCCTCTCTCAGTGCCAGGAACTCCTGACCAAGTTTCAACCTTCCTGTCACAGCTCAGTGATATGTCACGGCTCAGTGCAGGCTGGCCGTGGTGTTGTCTTCCTGAAGCCTCAGTGACCTGCCACGTGTGAATGGGCTCTTTTAGCTCTGTCTGCTGCCCCATGTCTGAGCTTGATAGGAATCACTGGACAAGAGGGGAGACAGGCTGGGACAATGTCAACAGAGACTAGCTAAACGGTGTCCCTACCCCCAAAATTGATAGACTGCAGCCCTAACTTGCTCCAGACCTCCAGATACAAATGTTTAGAGACAGGGTCCCCAAAGAGAGGCTGAGTTAAGAAGGTCATGGTGGGTGAGCCCCGATCCTACAAGACTGGTAACTCACAACCAGAGATTAGGGCAAGATGTTCAGAGAGGGGTGACCGTGTGGGAATTGAGAAAACATGGCAGAACAATGTCAACTTCTGGGGGTGGGGCACACGGCCTGGCCTCTGGTGCTCTACGGCACCCTGGACAGACTAAGTCAGATAACAAAAGAAATAACGGTGATGTCACTGATCCCCCAGCTGCAGAATGACACTTCCTCCAGGCTTCTTTGGCATGGCCTCGATGCCACAGTCACTTTGGCTCATAAATGTTCCCAGCATCTCACCCATCTTGTGGCTGCAAGCTGCCCAGACTCCTGCCTCCCCTGCGCTTGTCCCCTCTCCCACCCACCAGGGTTTAACCCCTTGTCATCTCTAATCTGACTTCGAATCATCCTAACTTCTAAATTCTGCTACTGACCTCTGAAACAACACTTCAAAGACATCTGTCCCTGATGCAGGGGTAGGGTAGGGTAGGGGTGTATGGTGGGGGGGGGAGAGCCTCCCTTACTTTCTCCTCCCCCACACTGTTGACATTGCTGCCGGGATTGAGCTTTGTGACATAAATATAATCACATCACCCAGTCATTTCTGACCCTGCGCTGACAACTCCACTCCTGAGTATACACCCAACTTGGGTCATTAAACTTGTTCAAGAATGTGGCTGGCAGCATCACATTTCACGCACAGCCACACGCCAGCATGAACTATCAGAGGGGGGCCAGCTGGGCAGCAAGGCTAGGCCTACAGTAGTTGGGCTGATGTCCCTACCTGTATGCACCAGACAGACAGTCTGCGCATGACTATGCTATATGCCATCAACACAAAGGCAACACTCACTTTAAACAGAATGCCAAGCCCCTTTGCACTCAGTGTAAACTCCAGCTCCTGGGCAGAATGGACAGAGGCCCTCACAGCTAGCCAACCACTGTTCCTCTCTTCACAAATGCACACTCCCACCCCCCCACATCTACAGACCTCACTCAGCCCTCTTCCTGGAGCTCGCTTCTTCCCACAGTATCCAATATGGAAATGGCCACATTGTCTTCCAAGGCCCACTCAGATGGTCCCATCCTGTTCCCTCTCAAGATCCCTGACCTGCAGGAGGAAGGAGCTGCCTTTCCTTCACACAGGCTGCTCACCACTTTCAGCTGCTGCCCAATCCTGACTGATTGACAAGCACACCTCCTGGGAACCTACAGCAACTAAAGCATTGGGATGGAGGAGTGGGTACAAGGGCAGGCTGGGAATGGATGACCTCATGCTGGAAAAGCCCAGTCTATTCGGATTAGTATGGCTGCCTCAGGTAGAGGCATAGGAAATCACAGAAAGAGGTTGCACAGACTCTCCAGGAACAGACTGATGCCAGCATTCTGAAGATCCAGCATTCCATTCTCTGAAGTGAACAAGCAGAGACCAAGTGCCCTGGAATTACTGACACCCCCTCCAGCTTCAGGAAGTTGGACACAGGTACCCAAGGAGACAATGTGTCTCCAGCATGGAGGAAATTCTGGGTACATGTAGGAATGGGAAACACTACCTGAGACATACACGTGGGGTTGAAAATTAAATGTAATTTTGAAGATTAAACAACAACATTGGGGCTGGTATGTGCAAGGCTAGCATGATTCTGTCCTCAGCACCCACCACACACACGTGAGGCCCATGGAGAGGGCCTTCCTGAATTATCACACCAACCCCGCCAACACCTTCAACTCAGACTTCCAGCTTCCAGAACCATGGCAATTTCTGATGGGCATCCTTCCTTCATGACTGACACTTTGTCTAGTTTTCCTAAAGCAACCTTAAGCTCCGCAACACACGCTGGGGTTAACAAACAGTGGAAATCACTCAACAATACAGTGCCTCCTAAACCAGGCTCAGGGCACCTGCAAATGCTGGGAGAGGATGTCTCCCTCAGCAAACACCCTTGCCAGGGACAGCTGGGGGCTTTCGGAACTCCCATGTCAGCTCTGTACCTTTCTCCTCCCCCATGGGACTCTAGAGAGGTGGCTCTGTCATCCAGATTTGTCCATCACCCAGGCCACAGAGACTAGCAGGCATGTACTGAGACACCTGGTTCTCACAACTCAGAGATGCGGGCACTCTCACTATTCCTGCTTTAGAAAAGGGGAAACCGAGACAGAGACTTTAAAGACTCCTTCACTGAGTAGTAAGTAGCCATGCCCAACAAGGAGATGGAGGCTGCTCTGGGCTCACACAGGCTGCCCTTGAGGGCTTTCAAATGTCATCGCTGTTACTCTTAAGATTCCGGAAGCCCAATGTACCTTCTCACCAGCACTGCTCACACTGGACCCAGCTCAGAGCTGCCACCCACTGGGAGTCCCCTGGCTCCTTCTCTCCACCCATCTGTCCCCTCTCCCTTGAAGCCCAGTACGTACTTGGACAGTGTTCATCACCAAGCCAGCCGTCATCATGCCGAGGCCCGACAACAGTATGGGTATGGCAACCTGGCATGTGGTGGTGAGGACGGACTCAGGGAGGACTCCATGAGGGGAGCGGGTGAGCTCACAGCTGAAGCCTCGGAGCTTCTTGCCCTGAAAGCGGAACTCAAGGCTGAGCTGAGTGACGACCATGGCTGGGCCCCAGTCGCGGCTGTCCTCTCTCCTCCCTGCCCACCAAGGCTGTCTTCTGCAGAGGTCCACACAGACAGCAGCTTTCCAGGAAGTACCACGGTGGGCCCCTGACAGCCCCTTGGCTAGGGGCCAGAGCAAACAATGCCAGACCTGCTCAGAGCCTTATTCCCGAGGCTGCCAGTGTCTTCTGTCCATTCCACTGGTCAGGTTCTCCTTAAGAGTGCACTGTGTATCTGCTGGGGCCTCCCTCTGCCAGCCTGCCAGAGAGGCTCACTATCCCTCAGCAGCGACCTTGACAGTGTCTAATAGTCCAGCCCACGCTAGTCAGGCTGGGCAGGGACAGAGCCCACATGGGCCTGGCCCTGGTAAGCACCCACGCAGAGGTCAGCACCACCCTCAGCACATGGGCCACAGGCTGCTTCGCTCTGGCCAAGAAAGGCCTGAGACCACAGCTTCAGGGATACTCACCCAGGCCTATGGGGCTCTCTCCTACAAGGTCAAGGACTCTGTGGGACTGCAAGATGAAAGCGACACTTGTAGTCAGCTCTGTGCCAATGTCCGGGAGCTCATGGCCACAGTGTGAGGCAGTGCTCACAGAGGAACTGCCGTCCTGCTTTCCCTCAAAATCCAGGAAGACCTGTCTAGCTGCTTCTGCTTAGGAAGGTCTGTACAGGCCTGGCTGACCCCCACCCTCGGCCTAGAGGGGAAGGGGTTCAGCCAGGAAGCAGCTTTAGAGTCCGGAGATGCTGAGGGTACCCCTTGTG